TCCATCCATTTATCTGCAAATGCCATGATTTTATTCTCAAAATTTTATTGCTGAGTAATATTCCATTGTGTATATATGCCACATTTTTTTTTTTATCCATTCATTTACTGAAGGGCATCTCGGTTGGTTCCAGAGTTTAGCTATTTTTTTTTTTTTAGCTATATTGTGAACTGTGCTGTAAAATATTTTTTAATAATGAAACATAAAAAAGGAGAAAGATATCAGGACTGAATATAATAGATATGATAATCTTTAGTAACTGAAAAGAATGAAAGTAAAAGAAACAAAAATCAATGGTAAATCTTCAAGGAACATTAAAATACAAGGAATAGGTGAGGCAGATCCAGAATGTGATTGGAGAAGAGAACAGAGCTTTTTTGAAGTAAGGAGAGGTTAACGGTTGTAAAACCTTCTAGAGGACAAACAAAATGAGCCCTGATAAACTGATGAATTTCTTAACTAGATAATAATCAATGAGGAAGCAGTTTGGGTAGAAGAATGAATATTGAAGCAAGATTGCAATATTTACATGCTTGATGACAAAGTGTGACTTTGTTATATTCTCCCCCCAAAAAGTACCATGGAAGTGGGTGAGAGGTAAACAAAAAAATAAAATAAAAAACTGTTTTGGTTCTGGGGTTCTGAACCCAGGGTTGCTTTACCACTAAGCTATATCTCCATCCCTTCTTATTTTGAGACGGATCTTGCTAAGTTGCTAAGGCTGGCCTCAAACTTGTGATCTTCCTGCCTCAACCTCCAGAGTTGCTGAGATTCCCTGAGCCACCACACCCAGCCCAAAATATAAAATCTTTATGTTAATGCAATGTGATTTCAAATTGTATTACATATAACTACCCATTTCTTAATTCTTTTTAAGAAAAAATAATTTTTTAAGGAAAACCAATTTGCTGTTTAAAAGTGTTTATACCTTCGGTTAAATGAGATAGACTGGACATGTCTACTTATTCTTTCCTGAAAGCCCATTTGTTTGTGGAAAAAAAGAAAGCTGTTAAAACCACAAGAACAACAGAGGAGAAGATATCAGAGATATTAACACACTCCAGAAGATAGAAATAACATCAAAGAGACAGCAGAGCTAATTCAAATATCCACAAAGAATACCAACAAGAAGCAAATCCAACAGAAAAGCCCCCAATAGAGACACAAGTATCAAGAAAAGGCAGGATAAAGCACAAGGCTAAAATAGTAAGGGTAATAATAGTAATAGTAAGTGGTTGAAATCTATGCACAAATCAGTTATATTCTTTGGTTCTCAATTGCATTCATTTGAACAAAATGACTATACCTCAAAGGTCAAGTAAGACAGACTACGTCACAGATCAAGTATAGAGCAGAACAGAATGCAAATCTTGTCCTTCAGATCCTATGGCCCATGCAGTTTTTACTATACTATGCTGTCTCCCTACACCACAGTGCTTCCTGTCTCAGTTATTTGTACAGCATTTTAAGTCTTAATTTTTACATCACTTTATGCTTAGATTATCTGTTTGTGATATCTAAATAGCCTACAATCCAGGACTACATAAATCTAGACAGGTATCCTAGAATCTATCCTCAATACCTAAAATCCAGGGACAGATCTATTTAGTTCTTTGCAGAACCAGTGTTTTTTCCGCATGAGGTATTCTAATAAAGAAAAATGCAAATTATCCCATAGTGATTCAAAGTTGAATGATATCAATAAATATTGACATGGGCTAGGGATACAGCTTGATGGTAGAGTACTTGTCTACCACAAAAATAAAGAAAAAAATAATATATAGTAAGTCGTTAAAAATTACCACTAAAATTAAGTATTAAATTTATTAAGTACCTATCTATCTCCAAATCCATTACTTGGGGAAAAAACAAAAATAAGCAAACTTAAACAACTTGTTAGAACAGCCAAAACTATAAGCTTTAAAGCATATCATAAACAAACCAAAGGAAGCACCAAAAGGAAATGCCTGCACATTCAGAAAAATTTTATCATAACATTAGTAATTCCTCATATATAACACCTGTTGCTTTTCTTTGTGGAAACTAAACAAACTGATACAGAAAAAATTGTGTGTAGAATTCAAAAGACTAATGAAAAAGTAGTCCTAACACATTACTAAGAAAAATAACTTTCTGGGCACAGAGGCACACACCTGAAATTCCACACACTTGGGAGGCTAAAATAGGAGGATTGAGAGTTCGAGGCCAACCTTAGCAACTTAGTAAGAATCTGTCTCAAAATAAAAAGGGCTGGACATGTAATCCCCAATGCTATCAAAATAAGGAAGGAAGGGAGGGAGGGAGGAAGGGAGGGAGGGAGGGAGAGAGGGAGGGAAAAGCTGAACCAATAAATATCTAATTTGCAGACAACAGATAATAACCTATGCAGGGCTATGATAGTTGGGAGAAAAAAAACTGAATGAATCTAGTTCCACACTGGTTTTCACCTTGAGGGTATTTTCCAATAACTTTATAGAGAAAGAAAGTCCAAGTACCAAGTAGCAAGCAGTCTTGCTATGATGAGAAAATGAGAATTAATGTTTGTGGCTACTAAGGCAGCTGGGTGACCAGGTGAGGGCAAGACAGATGTCTCCACCAATGGGCATATGGACAGACTATATTTTCCTAACAAGTCCACAGCAGTATTTCTGATCACATGATCCTCCAGAACCTTGTCACTTTTTTCAAAAGACAGCACATTTATCTTTCTTTTACTGTGAGTGTGCCTTTTATGAAAACTTTAACAAGCAAAATATGGGGAAAATAACATTACAAGACTTCCAAGCGTCAGCTAAGAAAAGGTAATATGGCTACAGTCTCTCTTTCTCTCTCTCTCTTTTTTTTTTTTTTTGGTTCCTGGGATTGAACTTGGGGGCACTTGGCCACTGAGCCACATCCCCAGCCCTATTTTTGTATTTTATTTAGAAACAGGGTATATCACTAAGTTGCTTAGCACCTTGCTTTTGCCGAAGCTGGCTTTGAACCCATGATCCTCCTTGTTTCAGCCTCCCGAGCTGCTGGGATAACAGGCATGCATCACCACGGCCAGCCAGTCTGACTTTTTATGTAAGAGTGCTCACCCTTGGAAACCAGCTACTGTGCTATGAAGCAGCCCAAGGTAAACAAAGTGGTCATATATAGGTGCTTCAGTACCAGCTGAGGTTTCCCTGTTTGTGGATAGTCTCCAGCCTTTGAGTCTTCCAGCTGAGGCCTGACATATAATGGAGCAGATAGAGCATTCATGTGTGAATCCCCCAAATAACAAACAGAATTCCTGGGGATAATAAATGGTTGAGTTTTTTATTGTTGCTGTTTTTGGTACCTACTTGAAAGGCTGAGGCACTTAACCACTGAGCCACATCCCTGGCCCATTGTTTGTTTGGTTCTTTTTTTGGGGGGTAGGGGGCGGTGGACAAGGTCTTGCTGATAATTTGATAATTAAAGTTATCAAAAGAAAAATTATGCTGGATGGGAAACACAGAGAATCCTTTTATGATACTATGAAACAAATACAAACTATAAGTTAAAATGAAAACAAAATATTAACTAATATCAACTTACAACAAAAGTATTTTTAAGTTTATGACCCTCAACTAGCAAGCTAGTTAGGGATTTGAGACCTCGATCCTGGTTTTCTAATTCTAATGAATTAATATCAGGAAAAAGAGTAGCATTTTTTATACCAGTTGTTTGATACTTAAAGAGTTTCCATTAATCAGAAATTTTTACAAAGCAAAATTTCCTTCATTTCATAATATTTTTGCATAGCAACCTATACTCCAACTATCTATTAGTAGATGATAGAATAGAAATAAAAATTAGAAGTTCAACATTTTAGAAAAGACATACTGAATTGTTGTATATACTAAAAATATCTCAAATGTGCCTTTCATCAATCTGCAGTCTCTTTTCTGATGTGAAATGGCTTGGAATTTAGGATAAATTAGCAATTCTGCTGTACAGTAATATATAACAGTTTGAGCTTAAGAAACCGATAAAGATGAGCATTTTCAATCACTCAGAAGAAAACAGCTATGTCATAGTGACTTGGAAATGAGTAATTCCAGTTTAAATATTAATATTAAAAACTATTATTTTCATAATATTAAATTTCAGGGTGTGATAACAGTACTATATTAATTCAGGAGTCTCTTTGGATGCTAGAGTACTATGGATGAAATCTACTACTTTGAGACAGTTTGGGGGGAAAAAAAAAGCAAATGTGCAAAATGTTAATATAAGTTCAACACAGTAAATCCTTTTATGATATTCTCAAACATGTTGGTAAAGGGCATGGGGTATTTATTGTACTATTTTTTAAATTCTTTCTTTATGTTTAAAATTTTTAAAATAAAAAGGGGGGAATGCATCCTTGTTTGTATATCAACATGTGTACAAGAATGTTCAGTGCAAAGCCCAAAGTAGAAACAATCCAAATATATAAACAATAAATTGACAAGCAGATAAATAAATGGATAAACTGTGACATATTCATACAAAAGGCAATTGTCTAGCAATGAAAATGAACTATTATTATTAATACCACATGGATGAAACTCACAAGTAACAATGAGCAAATGAAGCTAGACACAAATTGCATAAATAAATATTAAGATAATACTCAGTTAAGAGCAGGAATATCAATTATCTTTATTTAGCAAAAGTTTTACAGATAGTTCAAGAAAGACTACAATGGAAACATATAAGTTATGTTAGAGAACAAATTCCATTCAGGTACCTTCAACCACCCACATACTATTTCTGGTTTGTTAACAGTGTTCAGTGGGCAAGATTTTTTTAAAACACCCAATTTGAATGAGAACACATACCTAACACAAACCTGTATCAAAGAATTTCATATCTGAATAATTTCATATCTGAATAATTTTTCAAACTACACAACTTAATGATTCTAGTTTTAAAATACATTTAAATTCAGACTAAAAAATAGTTATGATGATGATAATGATGATTCGAAGAAGAAAAAATAATATACTTACATTAACTTTGAAAGCTTGTACAGTGTTATCCAGAAGAAGGATGTTGCAAACCACCTCTGTATTCTGTCTGTCTCGGGCCAACTCTGATGCTCGTACATTGTAGGTTCTGCCAGCAGGCAATCGGAAACGTGAGGTCATTACTGTCCACACAAGATCTAAGTTTAAAAAAAAATCACCAAATAAAAGGACTGTGGAAGACACAATGTTGTTTAAAAGATAATTGTTATTTTTTTAAATTAAAACTTAGGAAACTAACAAATTTTGAAACATTAGGATAAGAACTGTAGGTATAAAAAAATAGATATATACACAAATATATATTTCATCATCTAAACAAATATTTATTGCCTTAAAAAGGCTTTATTTTTAACTGCTCCAAAGAGAATTCAATATTCTAAAATTTCAGGAAGTCACATTCCAATTTAAAATACATAAATAAGGGAGAGGGTAATGCCACCCCAGGAAGTTGAATGTTATTCATTGATGCAAGTATTTAAAATCATTGTAGAATGACAAAAGGTAAGATAACTTTTAGGCCATTCCCTAGAAAACTTAAGATTTTAGGAAAACATGGGAGGTTTTCTTTGTTTTTAAATATAACAATAACCTTCATTTTAACTATCCTCAAACTTAGTCCTTACAAAATAAAAACTAGGTTGGGGTTGTGGCTCAGTGATAGAACGCTTGCCTTGCACACGTGAGGTACTGGGTTCGATCCTCTGTACCATATAAAAATAAATAAGTAAAGATGTTAAAAAAAACAAAACTAAATAGAAAACTTAAGCCTACCAATCTTTGCTTCTGAATTTTTACCTAAGAAAACAGGAAAAACAGAATGTCTATAGAAGAACAGAAATCATAATGATATCAACTACATGTTAAGACAATGAAGCTGCAGCTCCAATGTTCTGGGGGGAAAAATAATAGAAACACAGGCTTTTATATCCAGAAAACTAACATTCATGTTAGAGAAAACTCAAAACATTTTTCAGATATTCCTTGATTCAACATTTAAAATTCATAAAATTTTTACCTTAAAATTAATTAGATAAACTAAAGTAGGAAGAAATGTTAAGTATTTAGAAGTTTTAATATGGGTAAAGAAAAGTAGTAAGCAATGTGAAAATGAGTAAATAAAATAGTAATAATAAAAAAAGAAACATTTCAAATCAGTGGTATTCATTTAAAGTTGATTTCTATTCATGTCAATAGGTAAAAGCTGAAAGTAAAAGTCAACATTATGAAACAAAGAACTGCAGACATTTTATCTTCACAGTCTGTGTTTATAATATATAACTAAACGAAGGATGTTCTTTTCCATTACAGGGAGTCTGACAATTAACTGGCATGACCAAAAGGGTCTTCCCACCCAACCCCCACAAGAAAGCTTCATTCCAATTCAAATTATATGAACTTCCAAATAGCCACTCTAGGCTGTCCATGGTTTATTATGTTAACTAATCAGTGAGAGAGAGAGCCCAAAGGAATAATAAGTGATCTTTGTTTCTGAAACAGAAGCCAAAAAACACCACATAACTAAGTTATCTGGGTAGAATGTGTATCATCTGCCCTCCAACTGCAGGAAGATGCACACAGCTGCAGGAAGATGCCCACCAGCTTGGGAACACCCATCAACCACCTATATAAGCTACCTGGATCAAATTCCCCTTAAGAAGGGTGTTAGACACATGATTCCCCTTTCTTCTTGAGTCAGTTTTTCAGTCAAGGTCAACTTCCTTGCCTCAACATCTTTTGTCCCTCAGCTAAATTAGCTGATCCTGAGGGACCAGGTAGACTTTACCTCCAGTAATAATTATATAAGTATAAAAGTAATATGAGAAATAGTTTTAGCATGTTAAGATTCATTAACTACATAGGCAGAATTAATACTGTCAAAATGGGCATATTACCAAAAAGCACTATACGTGCAATTTCAATCAAAATCCCAATGACATTCCTCATAGAAATAGAAAAAGCGTCATAAAATTCATCTGGAAAAATAAGAGACTCAGAATAGCTAAAGCAAGAAGAGTGAAGCAGGTGGCATCACTATAGCAGACCTTAAACTATACTACAGAGAAATAGTAACAAAAACAGCATGGTATTGGCACCAAAATAGACTGGTAGACCAATGGTACAGAATAGAGACTAACCCACATAATTACAGTTATCTTATATTAGACAAAGGTGCAAAAAACATACATTGGAGAAAAGATAGCCTCTTCAACAAACAGTGCTGGGAGAACTGGAAACCCATATGCAACAAAATGAAATTAAACCCCTATCCTCACCATGCACAAAACCCAACTCACAGTGGATTCAGGACCTAGGAATTAAACCAGAGACCCTGTGTCTAACAGAAGACAAAGAAGGCCCCAATCTCTGTCATACTGGACTAGGACCCTACTTCCTTAATAAAACTCCTATAGCATAAGAATTAAAATCAGTAATTAATAAATGGGATGGATTCAAACTAAAAAGCTTCTTCTCAGCAAAAGAAACAATCAGCAAGGTAAATAGAGAGCCTACAGCTTGGGAGCAAATTTTTTCCCCTTGCACATCAGAGCACTAATCTCTAGGGTATATAAAGAAATCAAAAAGCTGAACACCAAAATAACAAATAACCCAATCAATAAATGGGCCAAGAAACTGAACAGACACTTCTCAGAAAGTGATATACAACCAACTAACAAATATATGAAAAAACGTTCAACATCTCTAGCTATTAGAGAAATGCAAATAAAAACTCCAGTCAGAATTGCAGCTATTAAGAATACTAACAACAACAAGTATTGGCGAGGATGTGGGGAAAAGGGCACACTCATACATTGCTGGTGGGACTGCAAAATGGTGCAGACAATATGGAAAGCAGTTTGGAGATTCCTTGGAAAACTTGGAATGGAACCACCATTTGACCCAGTTATTCCACTCCTTGGTCTATATCCAAAGGAATTAAAAACAGTAGACTACAGGGACATAGCCACATCAATGTTTATTACAGCACAATTCACAATAGTTAAACTGTGGAACCAACCTAGATGCCCTTCGGTAGATGAATGGATAAAGAAAATGTGGTATTTATACACAACAGAATATTACTCAGCAATACAAGAGAATAAAATCATAGCATTGGAGAATATAATGCTAAGTGAAGTAAGCCAATCCCAACAAAACAAATGCCAAATATTTTCTCTAATATAAGGAGGGTGATTCATAGTGGGGTTGGGAGGGGAAGCATGGGAGGAATAGACAAACTCTAGATAGGGCAAAGGAGAGGGAGGGGAAGAAAGGGGGCAAGGGGTGTAAAAAAGATAGTGGAATGAGATGGATCTCATTACCCTAAGTACATGTATGAAGACAACAAATGATGTGAATATACTTTGTATACGACCGAGATATGAAAAAATATGCTCCATATGTATAATATGAAATGTAATGCATTCTATTGTCATATATAACAATTTAGAATAAAAACATTTTTAAAAAAGAAATAAAAACTCTACTCCAAAAAAAGAAAAAATTAGGGCTGGGGTTGTGGTTCGGTGGTAAAGCTCTTGCCTCGAACCTGTGAGGCACTGGGTTTAATACTCAGCACCACATGAAAATAAATAAGGTATTGTGTCCATCTACAACTAAAAATATTTTTTTAAAAAAGATTCTTATCAAAGTGCATAAATGCATTCTACTGTCATGAATAACAAATTAAAAAATTATACAAAGATTCACCAATTAAAAGTCAGCCATTAGCAAAGGAGGGGAAAAAAAAAACAAAACAAAACCATGATTCAAATTGTAAGCTGCCTCCAAGAAACTCTCCACAAATTTAACAATATAGGCAAGTGGAAAGTGCAATTATGGGAAAAGACATATCAAGGAAACATTAATACACACAAACAGGAGTGCCCATATGGACATCAGATAAAGTTGAATTCAGATTTAGAACAATTAATTCTTGGGAACATGTAGGGATAGTACATAATGATAAAAGTGTCAATTCACCAGGACACAGCAATCCTAACTGTGAATGCACCAACAGAGCTCCAGAATTTTTGAAGCAAAAACTGTAGAACTGAAATAAAAACCAGAAATCCATTATTATACATAAGTACAATAGTCTGACACATAAAATGGACAAATTTCTAAAAAGGCACAAAATGCAGAATTTAACCAATATAAAAGATAATTTAAACAGCTCTGTTACTATTTTAAAATTTGAATTTATAGTTTTAAAACTTCCAATAACTCTTCAGACCCAGATGGCTTCACTGGAGGATTATACCAACTACTTAACAAAAAGTTAAAACCACTTCTACACAATCTATTCCAGACAGCAAAAGAGGAAAGAACACTTCTCAACTAATTTTATGGGACCAGTATTATCCTGTGAATTAACAGAATTTTTTAAAAATCACAATATTTCCAATCAAAGCAGAAAAGCATGACAAAATCCACCACCCATTCATGATAAAAATTCTCAAAATCTAGAAATAAAGGGAACCTTCTTCAACATAATTAAAGATGTCTACCAAGAAAAAAAAAAAAAACCCTACAGCTAGCATTACACATAATGATTCGCTAAAACCTGAATGTCTTCTCCCAGGAACAAAACAAGGATGGGAGTTTGCTCTCACCACTTGACTCAACTTAAAGCTGTAAGTCCTAACCAGGGCAATAAAGTAAGGGGGAAAAGCATAAACAGGAAGAAATAAAACTTACTATTTGCAGATGACATGAAGTCTATGTAGAAAACCTCAAGGAATCTACAAAACACTTGAAGTAGTGAGTTTAGCAAGGTCACAGGATACACTAACATACAAAAATCAACTTCATTTGCTTCTACTGGAAACAAATATGGAGTCAAATTTAAAGTGTAATCCCATTTCAACTACTAAACAAAAAATTTTAAAAAATTAAGTGTAAATCTAACAAAACACAGAAATTCTATGCTAAAAACTAAAAAAAAAATGTTGACAAATATCAAAGATCTATATAAATAGAGAGACATAATATGTTCATGAATTGGAAGACTCAATATAATAAAGATGTCGATTCTCTCCAAATTCCCAGTAGGCTTTTTCTGCAGATAGAGATTATTCTAAATTTATATGGAAAAGCAAAGGAAATAGCTGGGCATGGTGGCACACACCTGTAATCT